TGACTTGCATCAATTTTTATAGAAGCATCATAGAAAGCATTCTATCTTGATGTGTCATGGCTTGGTATTGCAGCTGTTTTGCCCAAGACTGTAAGAAATTACATAGAGTCGTGAACACAGCCCAATCCATCACGAAGCCAACCTTCATCTACACTTCTCCCTGCTTTAGAAAGGCAACCAACATCATCAAAGGCCCCTCCCACCCCAATAATAAACTCTTCCAACCTCTTCCATCAGGCGGAGGATAAGAAAGGTTAAACACACGTACCAACAGGTTCAAAACCAGCTTCTTTCCTGCTGTGTTTGACTTCTGAATGGACCTCTCAAATTTCAAATCTAATGTTGATCATGCTTTCTGTGCACCTTCTTTGCAGCCGTAACTTTGCTCCAAACATTAGCTTGCTCTCTCTCCACAGATGCTGCCGAATCCACTGTCATTTCCAGCATTTTTTGTTTTCACTTTGTATTCCTCGCTCTATTCTATCACCCTACAGTCTTGGTATCGTATGATCTGCCTGTACTGCATGCAAAACAAAACTTTTCAATCTACCTAGGTACATGTAACAATAACAAACCAAATCAAGAAAAAAAGCCCACCTACATTTGGTTTGTAGCAGTTAAATTTCTCAGCAACATTCAAGTCAGAACAATAAAAATAAATGTCTGGTTAAATAGTCACCTGTTTCTAAGGGAGGTTGATATTAGTGTTGCCGTTTCAGTGATCACAGAATCAGTCTTTATCAAAATTCACTCTAGATTCTAACCCTTACGTTTGCACAAGACCTCAGTTAGACTAAGAATCTATACTGGGAAACCATGACTAATTAAGGGTACAACTTCAGTTGCAGCTGCTTATGAGAAGTGGTTCACTGATTGTCGTAAAAGGCTCAGGCCGAAGCTCGATGGGACAAAATTGGTTGCGAAAGACTCACCTTGATTGGCTCAACATTTTTCGACTCGGAAATGGCTGCCTGAGTGAAGTACTAATTAAATATCCAGGAGTTTTTCTGGAAGATCTAGGGACTATCAAAGGAGCCAAGGCCACCTTGCATGTTGACCAGGAAGCAATTCCACAATTCTGCAAGGCGCACCCAATGCCATTAACTTACAGGCAAAAGTAGAGGCAGAAATCAGGAGGCTGGAAAACAAAGGAATCATCAAACCAGTCCAGTTTGTGGAATGATCAGCACTAGTTGTACCTATTGTGAAGCACGATGGGTTGGTTCGCCTTTGTGGGGATTTCAAACAAACAGTAAACCACTTTTCGCAGTTGGATAAATACCCAATCCCTCGCATAGAGAATGTATATGCAAAGCTGGTGCGGGAGGGGGCTGTCCCTCCTGAAGCTGGATATGAGCCATGCGTATTTGCAATTGTGGTTGGATGAAGATTCCCAGAAGTATGCCACAATTAGCACTCATAAGGCTTTGTACCAATATACGAGACTGCCATTTGCGGTATTGTCAGCCTGTGCAATTTTTCAGCAGACGATGGAGAACAAGGTCCACCCCAGGTTATTGTTTATCTGGATAACGTGCTAATAACAGGGAAGACCAATAAGAAGCACTTAGAGAACTTGGACATGATCCTTAGATGTTTCTCTGAGGCAGGTGTACATCTTAGAAGGGAAAAATGTGTGTTCCAGGCACCCCAAGTGATCTACTTGGGTTCCAGAGTCAACAAGACCAGGTTATGCCAAGATAAAATGAGAGCAATCAAAGGTGCCCAGCTCCCACGACTGTATCAGAGCTTAGGTCTTTCCTTGGGCCATTGAATTATAACAGAAAGTTCATACATAATTTGGCCTTTATCCTGGCACCTTTGCATCAACTCTTAAAAAGGGGTCAACCTTGGAAATGGTCACGTAGCCAAGCTATAGCTTTCAGGGAAGTGAAGAAAAAGCTATCATTCTTTAAGGCGCTGGCACACAATGATCCCAAGTGAGATCTGGTATTGACATACGATGCCACCCCTTACACCATCAAGGTAATACTTGCTCATAAGTGGCCCAATTGAGAGGAATGCCCAGTAGCATATGCATCCGTGACTTTGGCTAATGCAGAGCGTAAATATGCTCAGATAGAGAAGGAAGGTTTGGCCATCATATTCGGAGTCAGGAAGTTCCAGCGATAACTTTGCAGAAGTAAATTTCAATAATACTAGACCACAAACTCCTGCTAATTAAAGAGGACAAGGCACTGCTGCCCAGAGCTTCTGGCCAAATTCAACGGTTGCCTCTGATGTCCTGGTTCCTATTTGATTATAGGGCCACCCCTCATTCAACTACAGGGAGAGGTTCAGAAGAGTTGCTGATAGGGAGGAAACTCCATACCAGATCAAATCTGATCTTCCAGACCTGGCAGAGAGGGTGAAATGGCATCAGGAACATCAGTGCCAGTCAGAAGACTCTGCTAAGTGAGGGAGATAGTTTACTTCAGGGAGCGAAGTTTTTTGTCAGGATCACAGGAATGGCTCTGCATGAGTAAGAGGCATGGCTGGTGCGAGGTCAGGTCCAGTGGTGTATAAAGCACATAGACAATATGAAAGCTGCAAACTCGTAAATGGTGCAGGAGCAAACTGTGCCCAGTCTTTGACAGCCTGTCCGACTGTTCCAGAACCCAGGAGTTCTCCCTCTTCATTAAGCGTTGAAGGTACCTTGGAATCTGGGATGGACAGTGAATATCGCAGCCTCAACCCCTTTGCTGCCTGAAAAAGTGAATGAATTTCTTCTGAGATGCTCTGGGCACAAGAGGTGAGCTACTGTGCATTACATGCTGCCCATATCAGAGGCAGAGTTGGAGTGGCCTGATCCAGTGCTAAATCACCCCATGAGGAGCTATAAAAAAAGGAGGGCCTCCATCCTTAGACTCCAAAAGGGAGGGATGTTGTGATTGTAACAAGGTCAGCCAAGTGGACATCATAAAGTGTGAATTCCCTGATTGGGCCTGTTAATCTGGTTCAATAAGGGAGCTGTGGATGATAGATAAGAACAGGGGTGCCAGACATCCTGTGCACTCTGACAGCTGGCTCTGAGGAAGCTGGATCAGTGTGAAAGGCTCTCCATGTGTAAATAAAGGGTGACTTGGTATGCGATACCGGCCTCTGTGGAGTTATTTCATTTGCAAGTGACAATACCAAGGCCATTACTTGTTTCCTCTTTGATAGGAACATAGCCTGTGCACAAATGTCCACTTAATTCTTCCAGAAGTAGTGAGGTTTAGATTCTAAAAACATTGGAGGGTAATCATATAGTGACAATTTTCTGTTACAGCCACCAGGCTTGTAATTTTCTGTTTGGAAAATAAAAATGCTTAATCTTGAATCTTCAGCTTTATGAGATCAATCTCTGCTACCATGATATGATACCTGGACTTCAGCAGTCAAGTCCTAATGAGGGATTATACAATTCAGGATTTTTTTCTGTAGAAAATAGAAGACGAAGGGATATCTGATCAAAGTCTTCAAGATATTACCAGAACAAAACAGGGCTGATAAAGATAAACTATTTCTATTGGTTGGAGATTCTAGAACAAGCTGGGGGAATAGTCTAAAATTTAGGGCCAGATATTTCAGGAGAAATGTTAGGAAGTACTTCTACACACAAAGGGTGGTAGAGGTTTGCAGCTCTCTTTGAGAAATGGCAGTTGATGCTAGATCAGTTGTTATTTCGAAATCTGAGATAGATGAATTTTTATAAGCAAATCTATTAAGGGATATGAGCTAAAAGCAGGTATATGGAGTTCAGACACAGATCAGCCACGATCTCATTGAATGGTGGACTAGGCTCAAAGGGCTAAATGGCCTAATCCTGTTCCTATGTTTCTATATACCCTGCTAAACACCAGATGACCAGTCGGTGAATGAAGAAAACAGAGCCAGTAATTACTTGGAATACATTTATTAATAGAATGAAACATTGCAGGTATAGTTCTCTGGACACTGCTCTGTTCCTGTGTCTTCACACTCTTTTGATAATCAACTAAAGCCAATTAAATCACATTAGCCAAATTAAAGATAAATGCCTCTTATAGGAGCATTGTAACAAAAATCAAATGTTCAAAGCAACTTGAAGAATTAAATTAAAATATAGTTTTGGGTCACGTTAATGCTGTCCATCCTCCTGGTGCCCATTGGATTTGGAAGACCTCAGTGCCTTTTCCCTGAATGTACTTATTGTCACACGATAAAATTAACAACGTGTAGATAGCGCCTAGGGAATGGCCTTCATGGTAGCGACCAAAGATAATGGTTTCAGTTTTATATATTACAGAACTAGAGAGAATTTCTGCTCATCCCCTAAGGCAATTTGACAAACCAGTGTCAGTAAAGGGTTTGAGATAGATTATGGAAGCAGGCAGAAGAATCTGATGTTATGTTCTCAGATGGTATCACTGAGGAAGAGCATATTGACAAGGGCAAGCCTAGAGCTTTTGTGCAGGAATGGGAAGAGCAGCAATTTCAAATTATTCTCTTCCCATTACTGGATAGATGAGACTGGAACCAAGCGACTACAGTTCTGCCAAGCTGGATGATACAAGAGAGACACTGGATGAGCATGGTGTGTTCACATGTGTCGAAAGTAAAATATAAATCAGGAATAATTGTGAGGAATAGTTTGCCACAATTGCAGTGACCATGCAAGCCAAAAGAATATTATTGAGCAAATAACTGAGTCTGCTTCAACTGCCTAAACCATTTGAGAACAGCTTTGTAATGCATAATGATTTCCAAGTAATCATCCCTAGTAGGAGTCTGCTTGCCAACAAAATATCAATATTCACTCAAAAAAATCAGAGGACTCAAATTTAACATCAGATTCAGATTTAGAGATCTTAATTACATAACCTATCTATATGTAGCTCTGTATTATTGCACTGCTAATTCAACAGCTTTGTGGGTATGTTTATTTATTTGTTTATCCTCAAATATATCTATATATTTTTATTCCATTTGTGCATGAAGCACAGTTCCTTTGTGGCATTCATTTTTAACTGTTGCAGATCATTATAAGGGTAAAGCTTGCCAGTGTTGGATTTTTGGAAAATGTATTGCTGGCTCAGAAATTCTTCGTACTTTACAAACTCTGCGAAGAGCAACTGACTAAGCAGGTACGTATAGACCTAGATCAAATGTATCAGAGTGGTATTCTGGTTTTCTTCACTGTAATAATGAAAATTTTGATGTTACATCTAATAAACCTTGGTATTCACATTCATAATCTTAATTCTTTATCAGCCAACTTCATCATTAAACTCTTTTAATACATTTGTTGTATGTTGCAAGTGATAGAAGTTGAAGAGGAAACTAGATGTCAGCTTAGATGTATTACAGTTCATTTGAGGACCTTGGAATAAAAATCAAACCCTGTTTTTATTGTAAAATAAAACAAGAGAAATAAAAAACAGAAACATTCAATTCAGAGTGTAAGTAATGTTTACAGAAACATATTCAATACTGTGTAATTAGTGCCTTTTTTGGTTTTTTTCGGTTCTCTTTGTTGCTGAAACCCTTTGTGTAATCTCAAGATGGTCTCCAAATCTCCTACACTGCTGATATTTCTTAATAAGTGTTGAGAGAAACTCTAAATTATGGTATGTATGACTAGGTAATGATAAGCCCTGTCTTTGAGCAAAACAGAGCCAGAAAGACTTAATAATATATTGACTTGCTGAGCTAACTTTGTAATTTCATTTTGAAAGAAAATAAAATTATAATACTGTCATCAAAGGTTCATATAGATTACTATTTCTGACATTAATACATTTAAGCCCCTTGTTTTAAGTGTGTCAAATATATCAAAGTGGACTGGAAAAGTAATAGCAGGAAGTGTAGGTTGGTGAAGAAGAATGTCTAAATGAGATTTCAGTTCGCTCTAACTGTATTTGAATTAATAATTAGTTCAGCTGCTATGGCAACCTCTCTGTAGAGCGAAGCCTTTGAGGTCATGACCTGAAAGATTACCTCTCTTTGCTGTCTCTCCAATAGTATTGCCAGATCTGCGGCCTATTTCTAGAACATTTTGGTTTTTTTTACCCCTGATATCCAGCATACAGTCTTTAGTTTTTGGAGTAATCAGTTCATTTGTTTTACTGCTGTTGTTTATGGGCATGAACATGAGCCAGCTCAGTGGAAGAATTCCCTGTTCTTCAATGGAAATCTGTCATGGGCTGTTTTATGCCCACCTGAACAAGCAGGCTGCTCTATGGTATTGAAGTTATGGGGATTACGTTAAGAGGACAGGTTTCATTCACTACACTTGTACACTTTCCTTGAATAGACGAGCTTAAGGGGTGCCCTAACTGGTTAAAGGATTTGGGCATCACTGCCGAAGTCAACATTTACTGTCCGCCATTCGTTGCAATTCAGAGGGTGATCATAAAGTCATAGAGTCATACAGCAGGGAAAAAGGCCCTTAGGCCCAACTCATTCAGGCTGACCAGGTTTCCTAAACTGAATTAGTCCCATTTGCGTATGTGTGGCTCATATCCCTCTAAATCTTTCCTATCCACCACATCTTCTGGCAGTTCATTCCATATACACACTACTCTCTGTGAAAAAGTTATCCCTCAGAGCCCTTTTAAATCTTTCCCCTCTCACTTTAAACTTAAGCCCTCCGGCTTTGGACTCCCTATCTTAGCTATTCACCTTCTCTGTGCCCCTCATGATTTTACAAACATCTATTAGATCACCCTTCAGCCTCCTCCACTCCAGGGAAACAAGTCCCAGCATATCCAGCCTCTCCTTATAACTCAAACCTTCTAGCCTCGGCTACATCCTTGTAAATCTTTTTGTACACTTTCCAGGTTGTGACTGTGAGCTACCTTCTTGAACCACTGCATGTGAGATAGATATACCCACATTGCTGTGCAAAAAACAGTTTCAAAATGTTCACCCAGTGACAGTGAAGGAACAGTAATTCAGCTCCAAGTCAGGATGGTTTCAAGAGAAACTTGCCAGTAATTGTTTTCCCATTTATCTGTTGCCCTTGTCCTTTTAGTTGGTTGAGGCCATAGGTTTGGCTGTTGTCTAAGAACCACCGCCTAGTAGACTTTGCTGTTCGTTCTAAGGCAAGCTCCTTGTTCCTCCCAATGTTTGTGTGAGTCTGTCAAACTGGTTGTGTTTATTATCCAAAGCAGGTTATTGGGGAAGATGCTCCCAAGATAGTATAACTGCTGAACTGAATAGAGTACGTCCTGTACTGTATTGAAACTAAGACACATGTTGTGGTAGTGATAATGGCATCTTGGAGTGGGCAGGGACGAATTGATGAAAGATCGCCATCTTTTTCAGACTTATTATCAGGCCAAAATGTCCTGAGGCCAGGGCAAAGCGATCAACGAGCAACTGAATCTCCTCTGGAGTGTGAGCAATGAGAGCTCAGCCATCCACAGACAATAATACACTCAGTAAAACTATTGTTACTGAGAAGTGCCTTTAAGAAGGATTAATTCTGACATGTTTCTTTTGAAAGCACATGTTATAAACTTGGAGCCAAGCTGTCTGCTTTGAGCCCAGCATTGTAGCTAGCTTTGGTTCCTTTTTAAAAGCAGACAAAAGAAACATGAGTGCTTGGGGTCACACTCTCACAAAACACGGACTTTAGTTTAACTTCCAATAGCTACTAGGGTTTGGAAGCCACCCTTTGCCAAGGGTGTGTTTATGGGATGTTATTATCTTGGAATAGCTAATCAGTGGTACTTAACATATATGTTATCTTGTTAAGTATTTCGATAGTTACAGTTAAGCTAATTTTTTAAATTTCTATTTTGTCCGTATTTTAACAATAGTATAAGAATAATATATGTTTAGCTTCAAGCCTGGTAGTTTGACCAATCGAATTGCAACTGGAACACAACACCTTACAATTACCTTTAAAAAAATAGAAAAATCTGGGGTCTAGGCTAGCTTCTTAATATATTTTGAGAGGGTTTGGGCTGGTCCACAACACAATTTATTAGCTTTTGAGCAATTTGAAGAGGTTGATGTTAGCCCTGAATTGAATGCGTCCCCATATCAAGATCGTTCTGTATGATCTGGAACATGGCATATACTAAATAGCAGATAGGGCTGGAGCCAATGCATAGTCTTTCTTGGTCATGCTGGTGACAGAAATGGCATCTGATGAATGGCATTTTGCATCGTGGTAGCCATCATACTCTTCCCACGCCTACATTGAAGCCACACTGTTATTCTGGGTACAAAAAGCTGATTAGAATAGCCCTGTGAGAAATTTCCCTCATGTTGAAAGAAGTGATATTCCATGATGATTGTCACAAATGGACTTGCTATCTTTCAGTTTGTAAGTATGAGTTGAGGCACCATCCTTGTAGTTTTGAGGCAAAGTGCCCTAGTTCCAGTTTAAGCAGAATAGACACGTGAGTATGCTACTCCAAGAGTCCCTTCCACACTTGAATAACTCAAGTGGAATGCCATCAGTTCCAAGCAACTTTCCTATAGACAACTGTTTTAATGCCTTTGTGACAGCCACATGTAGAGTATCAGGAGAAGCTCTTCCTGAGAATAGTGCAATTTGGAATGGTATGATGGCACACTATGGATTGTTGTATTAGGAGATTGCTGTGTTGTTCAATCATCAACAGAGAATCTCAGAAAGAATCCAGTTTTTAGGAACTGATTGCCATCTGTTGAGATGATTGGTGTCATGACTTTGGGGCCATAGACTGGTCAGATATTCAGGTAGAGTAGTCAGGTTGTTATCATAAGCAACAGCTTGTATTACCACCATAGATTTTTCACCTCTTTTGGTTTGGCCTACAGCATGTGCTTTTACCAAATGGTATGTGCCTTCCTTGTTGTTGATTTCATGTCAGATATGTAAAATCTTTGAGTGTTGTTTACTTCAGGAACATAAGAGTAGGCCATTCAGCCCTTCAACCATGCTCCCACTTGTGATTCATGCTGTGCTAAATGTGAACCCCACTGCTAGTATTATTAGTTACTTTTCCTTAACACCTCTGGGCTATGTTAACATATTCTCTGCTATGACTGAGAGAGGAAAAATGCACCGCCTTTTTCTATCCCTACTACTCACAACATAAATCATATGTCTAAACATACAGTTACTCTAGCTTAGACTTAAACAATAAAATAAATAAAGTCACCATGTTTCTTTAATAAATATCAAAATGATTAATTCATTATAAAATAAAACTTTTTTGATGAAAATCCAAAACTGGCTAAAGCACCTAGTTTGTAATATGAAACTATCAATATTTACCCCTTTGAATAACCCAAAATAAATAGAAAAGGAAACACACAATCACACACAGAAACAGGATAAAATGAAAAAAGAACAGATTTCTTGCTGACAAATTCACTTACGGAACAAAAGACTTTAGGCCAATCAGTCTTTATTCATGAAGGCTAGAAGCCTAAGATTTGCGATGTTTAGATGACTGTCAGTCTGAAACTCTAACATGTACGGACTGGCATCATGAAACAAAGGCAGTTGCTTCTAGGATCTTGTCAGACGCAGCTCGCTCAGGAAACACCATATCAAGAAGTCTTCCAGTCACCCTCCAAGAGAACGATTGTGTTTAACAACAAGAGGCTCTTTTTCAGAAACAGGAGAGCTCAGCTGGGAACTCCTTCCCTTCAGCAGACCAGTCACCAACTATTCCAAAAATATCCAAAGCATTAACTGCAACCTGACAATCATAAATCCAGGCAGGGAGTCATCAGTAAGCAAGCATTACTCAAAAGAAATGTCACTTCAAAGAAATGCCTTATTTTAGAAAAAAGATTTCACTATTCTTTCATTCTCCTCTTTTAAAAAGGAAATCTAGGTAACCACAATTGTTTCAATTCCAAACATTATTAAAAAGGAAGTCTTCAAAGCAACACCGGACACTTTTGTTTTTATTAGGTTACCATCTGTCTTGGTTTCTAGCATCCTTGGTGTGTTCTTAGAATGTCTCACTCTTTTCTGTTCTACAGTGCTCTTTATTTCCATTTATACATATTTTCCTAATCAACCTGTTCAGAGATGTTGTAACACACTTCTGGAACAGGTAAGACTTGAACTCAGGCCTGTATACTCAGTGTTAGGGACATGACCACTGCACCACAATACTCCTCTATTTGTTTC